TGCATTATGATGAGAATTAGCAGTTCGTTTGTAGATTTCCGGGACAGATAATTTAAGGTTGTTCCCAGAGCCGATAGAAAGGAATTGTGCGACAGTAAACGGAAGACATGAAGCGCTAGAAGAGTCCAGTGCCTGTCTAGCCGTCACACAAACCGACTCCAGTTGTACCAGACTGCAGCGCTTGTCAGTAACCAAAGCAATATCCTCGACGACAGTACCACTTGTTTGAGATTGATGTTACGAGTATAAGGGACGGGGGAGGTATTTGGGCAAATTGTCGCGAGGGGGGAAGACTTATCGGGCACTAGTGGACATCAGCCTACGGCCCAGTGACAGCGCATTGGTTCAATGAACAGCTAACTCGATTCAAATGCCTCTGAGTCGGCATGTTAAGCTCCACTTCGGTCCTTAAAAGACTGCATGAATAGTCAACTTGTTAAAAACCTGACCCTTTCCATTGTTGAATAGAAAATGCGTATCAAACTTGAATTTACCCCGTGGCTGGTAGCATTTGTTGATTAAGTTATGCTAAGTGTGCGCGTATGTACGTGGAGTACGCGCGGATGGCGTCTTTTACGCCCAACCTTGTTCCTTCATTATCGGTGCGTGAGAGATGGAAGCAAGAGTAATGCCCGCCTTCGTAGGCGTTTAGTTATGCAGGTATGACTTTTCGAATGAGGCATGACGTTAAAAGGGAAGTGTAAGGGATTTAAAAAAGAATATATGACTCAACAAAGTGTCATATGAACGGTTGAGTAGCGGAGGGTAGAATTAATTGTTGAACCTAATGCATATTTGCTCTGCGACTTTTAGTTGCAAAGAGACTAGGAAAAGGTAGGCCAGGAATTGCACAAAAACCTCGAAAGACGACAACTAACTTATGAGAATTTCAAGTGGTATAAACACCCAAAACCACCCAAATTGTAGGTGGTCTGGGGAAATATTTCAAGGGTAGGCGGCAGCTGTAAGTCAGTCCAGCCTAACGTGACTCCATAGAAGAAATGTCTGCCAACTAGGTGGTGGTTTACTTTTCAAAAAACCGAAGTGTGTGGTTTGGAAGCTCTTCATCATAAACCAGCTCTCTGGGCAATAGGGGACCATTCGTATTTGTGTTAAATACTTTATCAAAGGTGTGTCTCTGGTGCGCTTTATGTGCGAAGAACATTCCCAAGTGTGCTATAATTCAAAATATAAATCTGTTCACGGGTTTCTACTTACTTACCGGGGTTAGGGTACCAGCCTCTTGAAGACCTCAATAGTGATAAAAATTGTGTAGCTATATTTGCTGCATTCTTTGGGATAAGACGATGACAGCGATGGAGGCGGAATTGAAACGTCGGCCTCTATTTCTCTGAGGCAGCTCGAAACTGAGTTGCAACTGACTGGAGCAAATTTTGAAAACTTGAACCTGCATCTCTCTCTTCAAAAGAATCGTGAAGCTCCTCTAGCCCTTGGTTCCGGCAAATTCGCTCAAACAGAAACAGCTTTCTTCCAGCATAATGGTCGAATGCTGCGAACTGTAATCTACTTAATGACTGATAAATCAGTCATTCAGAAGTAGAATCTGCGATCGTTGGAACAAGAAGTTTATTTTCCTGACATTTCGATGTCTCCCTTAATCATCAGAGATAACCATAGAATTTGATGCTAAATGAGCCCAAAAGACCTCTTACTATGACAGAAAACGGCTGAAGTCGTTTACCGGAGCTAGTACAGTCGTGGACAAAGTAACTACGTCGTATAAGACGGGAAATTACTCCGGAGACGAATGGCCGAGCACGCAGCAGCAATGACGATGAAAAATGTCAAATCCCAGGTTGAATATCACTCGACGGGACACAACCACATTTTCAAATTTAGTGAGACGGACCTCCGCGCAAGAAGTGACAACCGCGTTCGCCGCGAGTTGCTCGAGTCATGATTCTCAGGTCCGCAGTCAATCAAAAAACGCAGTAACTTGCCGTTCCTGGCAGGAGTATCATTCACGTGGAGAGCGCGGGGCACAGCAATAATACCGATGATAGCGGACTTAATTGTTGCGTAATTATCAAACCATCATCGAACGGAAAGCTGAAATGGAGGTAATTAGTGACTCGGAAACGGACTGCTAAGCCATCGCCGCATCAACCACAACCCCAAACGAAAATCAAGGGGGCTGCTAACCGTAATGCGCATGCAGGCACGTGGCCCCTGTGGAGTATAAATACTGAGTAATCTGTGCATGTTTCACCTTGTTCTGTGGTTATCTCTGATGACGAGTTCAAGCCAGAATCCGAAAGGTCAGGCAAATAAACTTCTTGTTCCAACGATCGCGTCTTCTACTTCTGAACTGCTTCCTGGAACTTACCTCATCGTAGCTATCAGAACTCGGTCATTCTGTCGTTTAAAATAAACATCTTAAGTGCAGACGTTGCTGTCCGTCCTGGAGATGGAGTTCGGCGTACCCAGTCTGGTTACGGCCTTCGTGTGTGGGAAGTTTACTACATAGTGTCCACTGAGAAACGACGTAAAATAGAGGGTAGCAGCTAACAGCTGTTTCTAAGTAGAGATACTATGCAAGACAGTAACGAAACAAGAGTTTACATCAGCGATCAGGGCGACTGAAGCTTTCGGTCCATGCACCAAATCTGTTAAATTGAATGATGATCATCGCGTACCGTACATTCATGCTGTTCCGCTCATGTTTTCAACATTAGTAAGATCGAGAACTGATAATAGACGAGAGTTGCTTCTCACTCGAGTTAGTTTTTTTTAGCAGTCTAACAATTTGCAAATATTCTGCGAACTAATATGTAATTTGCTGGTAAGAATCTAGCGGACAAAGTCGACGCTTAACTTATGTGTAGACAGAGAAACAAAATTGTGTAGCTGTTGGTTGGGTTATTGAAATCCATGTTTGTCTATGAAAAACTACCCATTTGCTGATTTGCGATACCAAGTTCTGCACAAGATGAAACGTGTGGAGTACTGCCGAGAAGAATTAGGGGTACTGCAGCGGCCGATTCTGACATAACCGCACGTGCTGGCACGTGCGATGATTGAACCCGATGTAGTTGATTTGTATTCAGCTTTCGAGTACACAATGGCCGCAGGTTGATTTCTGAATACACGGTGACAGTTAATGCACCATAAATAGTCATGCCATTGTCAATCTCCCTGTCGATACTACCCCTTTAGCACTGGCTTTCAGCCGCTGTGTCGCCGCCTATGTTGTCTATAGAGTCTCAATTCTTAGGCGCACAGTCCAGCTGGGCTTTAGTTTTGGGAACATATCAATGAACGTCACGCCTTTGGAGTAATTAACATTACCGATACTGGTCTTGTGGCAAAAATATCTGCGTAGCAGTCGAATTTCGCAATCAAGTTGTTTGCTAATTCTCCACACTAAAAGCTTCAGGAAGCGTGAGCAGTTCTGCCAGTACTACGTTATAAAACGTGTGTTGCTTGTTTTTGAAAAGAGGGCACCCTGATTTTGGTAATTAGAAGTTGATTACTTTGAAACACTCGGTTTGGTTACCTGATCATATGTGGACCTAGGTATAAACGAAGATAAGTTCCTTTTACGTCATCATCAGGAAAAACCAGGCGCGCGTGAAGGCATTTTTTTCAAAAGAGGACAAGTTATGCAAATTTGTTTATTTATCTAACCAATTCTACTAGCTCATTTTAAGTAAAACTTTCGCCAGTCTCATTGTAACAAGGGTGTTGATTGAGTGAGTCTGGTCCTTCTCTGTTGTGATATGCTCTCCATAGTGTGGAAATTTGGGCAAAATAAAAACATCAAAATGTGAATGAAATCCTTAGATAGATAGAGCACACTAGCCGCCCCTTCTTTTGTTTGTAAAGAACAGCCATTTGAAACGAAATTTATAGGAGCTGTTGCAAATCAAAAACTTACAGAAAATAATTGATGGAGCGTATACTTGCCTTACAATTACCCTTCGCTAATATCTCTTGAAGCTTAATGCCGAGTAGTCTATTAACCCATAAATGTGTGTGGGTTGAAATCGCAATCATTAAATATTCCCATCGACAAAGTATTATCCTCGTTAATATTACAAGCGATTGCCCCTGCATTTTCGGGAGAATATGATTGCCTGATAAATGCTAAACTTATGGATAGTCTAAAGCTGTTTTTAGGGGAAAATTTTAGAAATTGGCTTGGCTTCTCCCTGTCCCATTTTGGTGAAACATCTGTGTATTTTAATTGATAGATCATTAACGTGTCGAACCACTCCCCTGTAGCATTTATCTTGCACGCAGTTAACTTTCCTGGTTATATATCATTCTCCGGTCATATGTTCCCTTTTAGTGCAATATTCAATGATTTACCAAGTATTTGTCAATCTAATAAGTTCATAATCCTAGCATGCCCCTAATTTCTAAGTACGGCCCAAAAACGCAAATTTTTTCCCAGTTCACAATACATGGAAATAATCATGGTTCCTTACATAACATACAGAGTGAATGCAAACTTACGTATTTGTGTTGCAGGCAATCTCATACAAGATCGTTCAATCGAATTAGATCATGTTTGAACTAGGTGGATGCCATGTTCAAACTATCAGAGTACTTAACCCACTGAAAATTGTGCTATCTGACAATACCGATCAATGTAACTGAACTAGAGTTTTGTAGTATTTTTGAGCAATCGAATTAATGAAAGATTTTTTTAATTTTAGGAAGATGCCGAGTTGAGGGGAGTTTAGATTAAAGTATTTTTTCCCTAAACCATTGACTGCACGGGCAGATGAAGCCTGGATATGGGAGCCTAAGAACTACAAAATAGCTTAAGCAAATATCTCAGCGGTTTAAAAAAACTTACAATTACCTAACTGTATCTTTTTTTTACTTTTAAATTAAGTATTATGTCTTGCAAAATCCAAGCATTCCCATTTTGTGTGTTGTGGGTCTATTGTGTTATTTAGTGCTGGAAAAGTCAAATCCAAAATATCCCGATGAAAAGCTAAGAGCATTGACAACTGAAAAACCTTAAAGACTTACGCAGTAATGTCCCACTGACTGTGTTCCACGTCGAAGTATCCCCATGATGCTGCCATCTGGGGCGACATTATAGGCTTTGGTATTTCCGTAAGACCCACAACTAATAAATCAGCAATTGTTCCAGCGCACGTCCATGGTGGGTGTCGGTCAACCTTGTCTTTGCATGAGAATGCTTTGAAAAAATGTGGCGGTGTTATTTGTGAGGTAGAGCGAGTTTTTGGCAGTTGCTCTCCGGTGTAAACGCGGGTATTATGGTGATAGTGGTCGTCTTTTGATATAGGAGCTTCATCTGAACCAGTGGAGATCTTTCGCAGCATGGCAGAACGCTCAAAGAATCTTTCTTCCTCCGCTCTTGAAAGAGGTGTTAAGGAAAATTCACATGTCCGATTTTTCAGATGCCACAAAATTATTGCACAGCCGAAACCTAGAAAATGATTAAATAAACATGAAATAGTGCACTCTTAGTTGGAATTTGGTACGTATATAATTCAGTCAAGCGTCTTGTAGTTATCTGCCAGATCAAAATTTGCTGACGATTCAACTGAAAGTATATGCTAATAACATACTTTTCTGTGAGAAGCTTGACGAATTCGACAGAGTGCGAACCCGCAACAGACAAAGTAATACTTACGTTATCTTTTGGTTCTAAGAAAAGGACCATTTTATTTCTCTTGAACACCTCCTGAATAATTTATTCAGATAAATAAATTGCATACGGTTCTTTAGTTTACGGTGGACATCAATAAAATGCATTAATTTAGGTAACCGAAAGAGGAAAATAATTTGTACAAACATCAAGACAATATTTAAAATAAAGACCTAGAAAAGTCCCATGTGGCGAAAGGTGCCCGTGGGACGATCCTTCATTAACAAATGTCATAATACATTAATTTTAACTGCCCTGCTAG